TGTTGTTAAAGGATAAAATCGCACATCAAATAAAGATAAAAATATAAAACAATTTATAAAAGTTTGAGATACTTCTTTTAATGAGGTTGACCTTTTAAGATGAAAACCCCAAATCTTAACATGGTATCTGAGCCTGTTAAGTTCGAACGAGCAATTCGATCTGATTATGACTAAAAAAATTGAGCATACGGATTTCAAGATTGGTCTTCTTAAACGAGCCACAATCTTATGGGAGCATGTTAAAGGATATAATCCCACATCGAATAAAGATGAAAATATAGATCAATTTATAAGAGTTTGAGTTACTCCTCTTAATAAGGTTGACCTTTTAAGATGGAAATTCAAATCTTAACAGATGGTTCTTGTACTTAAACACTCAAAATAGGATGTCGTGGAAATGAAAAATAATAATGGAAAATTTGATAGTATCTTACACAGGGACGGAGAAAGGGGAGTTTAGGGCTGCCTCAAACCCATTTAATTTTTCATTTTTAGAATACTTTTTTATGTATTAACACAGTACAAAAAAAAAAAAAAAAAAAATCCTCATCTGACTCTTCCCACTGATTCTACAAATTTAGTGCATGATTGTTTGCTGCTTGCACTAAATCAAACTAATTTGAGACAATTAAGCTGGTTGTACATAAAAGCTTGAAAGTGAGTCTGACCGAATTTTGAAAACTGCTGATCTTGCGATGTCCGTGCGGGGGAAATGGAGAGAGAACCAGGTGGAATGAGACAAAACAATTTCCTTTCTCTGAAGGGACCCACATGCTTGTCCCAAAATTCAAAGCAATTCATCTTTCCCAAACATTCCAAAATTCAACACTCCGACAATTTGATTTTCTCCATCCTCCAAACCCTCAGCTGGCGAAAAATAATGTTTACACCTTCCATTTGAGCATTCGACCGTGTTTGAAACCCATATTTTGAAACTTTCTGTCGTCCGACCGCGCTTCGTGTGAACAACCACAATCGGTTAGCCCAACTTCGTCAAAACCCGTCTCCGTCTTCCATTGAACGTGAAGGTCCGTCTTCTTTCAGCTCCTCCACGTCCATCAGCTTTCAGTCTAGCTTCAACCTTCGTCCATAACCCGACCCATTACATAGGCGGAGTACATTGTTCTTATTTTTTTTTAAAAGTAAATTGTTTGAATTTCTTGAAATTTGTATGATATGGGTTGTGCATCAATTGCAGAATTGTAGGATTAGAAACTCTGCATTTTTATGTTTACCCCTTGCTTCCAAATATTACATAAAACTGTAACTGAAATATCGAATTTGATATATTTAATTGTAAACAAATCCGTTCATCTACATTGAAATTAATGCTTTCTATCAGTGTGTATTTGTATTACTAAACTAGAATGCTTGTATTTTTTAGAGTTGAACAAAGCATGGATGAAGTGGATGATGATATTTTGGTGGATTCAGACAATGAGAATGTGGAAGATAATATGAACCAAGTGGAAGCTGAGATTGTACAAAGAGATTGTAGTATTGTGCTCGAGGTAAGAATGACGTTCAAGGATGAAAACGAAATGTGGGATTTCTACAAAAGATACGCCTATGCCGTTGGTTTTCCAGTTAGGAAACGGAATTCAAAGAAGGATGAAGACAGAGTTTTAAAATATCTGACGTTGACATGCAATCAGGAAGGCAAAAGAAGTTCTACGAGCAGCGGCTCTTTCAAGCCATACCCGACAATTCAGGCGGGTTGTAGAGCTAGGATATCTGCATCTTCGGATATTCATGGCTGCTGGAAAATCAACATAGTCTATCTAGAGCACAATCATAGAACAAGTCGACGGAGTCTAGGCTATAACGTTGCAATCGAAAATTGAGTGTGCAGGTGAAGAGGAAGCTTGAAGTGAATGATCTAGCAGGCATTCCGTTGCACATATCCTACAACTCGGCAGTGGTGGAAGCAGGTGGTTATGAGAATATGACTTGCATCGAAAAGGATTGTCGAAACTATATTGAACAAGTTAGGCGATTACGGCTTGGAACATGAGAAACGTCGCAATACAATCCTACTTTTCGAAAATGTAGTCAACGTGTCCGAGTTTCTACTTTAGCATGGATTTGGATGATGAGTCACGTCTAAGGAATGTATTCTGGGCAGACAATCGGTCTAGGCAAGCATTTAAGGAGTTCGGGGATGTTGTTACATTTGATACCACCTATCGACATGTCGTTCGCCCCTTTTGTTGGCTTAAATCATTACGGACAATCAACACTGCTTGGTTGTGGTTTGGTGTCAAACGAGGACACAAACTCTTTCGTGTGGATATTCACAGAATGTCTGTAGTGCATGCATGTGCAAGCTCCACATGGAATAATTATTGATCAAGATCGGCCGATGCATAATGCAATTCAGATCGTATTTCCAAATACGAAACACATATGGTGTTTGTGGCATATATTGAAAAAGTTGCCTGAGAAGTTTGGCTATAATGCGAATAAGGGTTCTATATTTTCGACTATTCACAGACCGATTTATGATTCCCAGACTATTGTAGAATTTGAAAGAGGTTGGACAGCGATGATCGAGTCATATGGATTGCAAGATAACACTTGGTTGTCCAGCCTCTATAAGAATAGAGGACATTGGGTCCTCTGTTTTTTGAAAACAACTTTTTGGGCAGGGATGTCAACATTGCAAAGAAGTGAAAGTATAAATGCATTTTTCGATGGTTACGTTCAGTCGAAGACATCTTTGAAACAGTTCGTCGAACGGTATGAACGGGCACTACGAAATAATGTTGAGAAGGAGTTCCAGGCTAATTTTAGATCATTTTCCCAAATGATACCGTATGCAACAACTTATGACATAGAAAAACAGTTTCATTCGGTATACACCATTGCAAAATTCTGAGAAGTTCAAGCGGAGTTCACGGGAAAGATTTACTGCGATCTCATATCTTCTTCTGAAGGACCTTCGGGGATGACGTACGATGTATGGGAGGATGTTGTATACGAACAACGTCAGAAGAAGAAATTGTTCAATGTTACATTTCGAAGAGGGCTGCAAAATTAGTTGCAGTTGCCACTTGTTCGAGTTTAGAGGAATGCTATGTAGGTATGCCATTAGTGTGTTGATCCGTAACGACATAACATCACTTTCGGAATGGTACATTTTGAGACGTTGGAGAAAAGATGTTAATAGAGCACATTCCAGGGCCATAGTCAACTATGACAGATTGGTTAGTTCTCCTAGCCAATTGAGATACGATAGTATGTGTCAAGCTTTTTTCGTGGTGGTAGACCTTGTTGCAGATGACGAAGTCCGGACGCATGCAATAATAGAATGGATTGGACTACAATCTAAGGAGCTATCGTCGAATTGTGGAAGTAATAGCATTTTACATCATTGTAATCGGTCGGTTGCTATGTGTAATGATTCAAAAAATACTATGAGCCAAAATGTATTGGATCCGACATCGTCCCGAAGAAAAGGCGAGCCAAAAAAACTTCGACGAAAAGGAGCCTTAGAGTTGACTTCAAAGAAGGTACATGTATATTGCACCTAAATACTATAAATTGAAAATTATTGTTAATGTAAATTCTTATTTCGTATGATCGTCATGCAGGCAAGTTCGACCTCTTTTAAACAAAAGAGACTGACATCAAAGCATAGCAATATGCGTGAGGGCGAACATGAACCTCAGCCAATAACTACAGAACAACAATATTCCATGTCTCCACACGTTACATTTTTACAGATCTCGCTTCCGACGCCATTCCCCTTACCACAATATGGCATGCCGACATCGTTATCATACCTTCAACACTTACAATCTTCCAATTCATGAATTCGTCGTCAACAAATGTCATATACAATCGCAAAGTTGCTTCACATTCATTACATATTCAGATATTCATTTGGATTGTTTAATATGTACATTGATGAAAGTTCAATTTCTATTCTAGGTCATGCCTTTCCGTTCTACTATCCAAATTTGCCTGATCAAGGCGGCACAAGTTCTTGATGTTTGATGGATGCAGTAGGTAAATCTGACTTGTTTTAGCTTACTTCCCTTTCCTATTTTTCGCTAGACTGATCATGTGTTGCCATCTGTTCAAGTAAGATCCTGTCCAAAAACAAAAATGAACTATTTAGTTGGAAAAAATTTAATTCGGGCTAGACCCATTGCATGATCAACTTGTTAGTTAACTATTTAATTTGGGCTAGACCTATCCTTGGACTGTTTGGTCTTTCATTTGCAATGTTTTCGTGGTCTGTTTATGTACAGTAAAAATTGGTTTATGGCACTATTGCAAGTGATAAATGTTGAATCCATGTTGATGTAACTCCTGTTCTTTTAATGGTGGTAATTTTTCACTCTGTGCCTTGGACATTTTGTTAACACTCTATTTCAATGAGCCTATTAGGGTGAGGAAGAATATGTTCCAACCCCAAATTCATTGTCGGAAAAACTTATCAAATAGAATCAATATGAACAAGAAACAGGCATTAGCATAATAAAACGGTAAATTTACATTGTTTTTGTCAATAATCCCCTACCAACTACATACTTCGATGACACGAAGAAATGTAAAATAAAACGATTACATAATTTAGTACTCAACACGTTCAACGAATTAACTAGAAATCAAGTCGGCCCCTTTCCTTTTGCAATCCCTTCCGAGCTTCCTTTGCCCCTGCGAATCGTCGCATTCACTGATATTTCGAGGTCTACTTCTTCAGTTAGTTGAGCCTAAGATTCGAACCTGCGGGAGATATATTCAACTGCTTCCTTCATCGCGACTGTGATTGAAGTCGAGCTTCGTTAGTAGATTCACCGCTTGACCGTGCTTCTTCAACCCATTCCCAAAAATCACATTTATTACTGCAACATCTGAATAATTTCCCTTTATTACCAATCTGCTTTTCGACCTCAAAACACTTTTGAAATCCATTCTTACACAATGGGCATTGTCGTTGAATCGGGCATTCAGCGAATAAGTGCCCTTTGCCTCTACAGCTATGGCAAAATTCAGAATTCTTCCCGACTATTCTAAGATATAATTAAACCATTCTAAAAATTAGATTACAGCAACAAAATACCCAAAAATGCAAAGCAATAGACTATGTTCTCATATGATGCCATCAACCAAACATAAACTAATCTGAAATTCATGTCATTCTCACCAATGTAGATGCCACAAAGTAAAACACCAAAACCACACATCAAACTACATAGCTAAAATTATATTATAGCATCAAAATACCCAAAAATACAAAGGTAAACACCAACAACACAAACCAAACTACATAGCTAACATTATATTACAGCAACAAAATACCCAAAAATACAAAGGTCAACATTAGATGCCAGCAAGTTAAGATGCACGTCTGATGCAATCCAGCAAAAAACTGAAGCTGAAATTCACTTGATTCTCTCACCAATTTAGATGCCAGCAAGTTAAACACCAAAACCACAAACCAAATTACATAGCTAAAATTAGATTATAGCAACAAAATACCTAGATACCCGTAAATGTATAGAAACCCAAAAATTTCGTTCGAGCTAGTAAGACCCCAAAGATGTCCGTATAATTCTCACCAAGTATAATCCTCAAATTGGTCACTTGTACATAGTTTTCTCGTCAGAAACGGTAGCAACTCTACAACTTTTACAAAATTGCAAGCAAAAAAAAAATAAAATAGAGCAACAACCACAACATTTGCTTACTCCCAAGGATGTGTTCTCCGACTTAGACTTCCCAGTGGCCGTAAGTTTGTAGCTCACAAACTGTTCGTCGATCTACAAATTCAGACCTTCATCCACGTGATGTTTTCAAACCCCGTTCTCTTTTTTAGGGATAAATAGGTTGGGGTTCATTTCTTCTTCGACGGGATGGCACAGGTCGGAGGCTTGAGCAGGGGCGAATCCAACCCTGAAGTTCAGCACGGGCGGCCGACGATCATTGACTGTTGACCGCAACGATGTGAATGACGATATTGATTATTAATTTTTAATTAAATAATATTAAAAATTGTTAGATTAATATATAAATACACTAAAACGTAGGAATGATATATTATGAAAATATAATCTAATACAACTCAAAAGAAAAATAAGTAATACAACTTCACTTCGTAACTGTATGCTCAGATAATTGGAATCTCTGTGGTATCATATTTTGAAAGCACTACAAGATTGTCTCATTATCAATTTTTTAAAAAACGTATTGCTTAATGTACACTACCAAATTGTCATTCAACCAAGGCATCCCCCTCCCCCATTTTGTTGCGCAAGCACAAATTCCCCAATTAACAAATTTTCAATTCCCTAAATTTACCAATTAACTAATTCACAATTTCCCTAATTCAAAAATTCACAAAATTTTCTACTTCATAAATTAGTCAAAGATAAATATTGAAACAAAATAAAAAAGCAATAAATTAAAGTAAGTCAACTAATTAAATATATTAAACATATATAATTCTGCTAGAAAAATAGTGTTTACCAAATGACATTGTGATCAAGTTTTTATAATTCAAAGGAAAAATCATGGGTTTGAAAATTTACAATTACAATTACATTAAATCAAATCCAACCTAATATATATTTGTTTGCTAAATGTAGTGTCAATATTAAGAAGTGCCATAGCGGTTATGTGTTCTCTTAGCTAGTGTAAGGTCCCGAGTTCGAATCACATCGAACTCCCCCCCTATTGCATTAATTTTATTAAAAATAGTAGAACTAAAAATATTTTCAAACAAATAGGTTGGATGGGTTTCGAACCTGGGACTTAAAACATAAAAAAGCGACATCTTACCAACTGAGCTACAAAGTATATTTGAAAAAGTATGAATTCCAGTAATATAACCTTAAATATTTATCAATTGTCAAAAAAAAAAAAAATTTGCTCCGGCGGATCCAGCACGGGCAGCCGCGGGGGCTGGCCAGGTGCTGGATCCGCCCCTGGCTTTGAGGACTGTCGGTCGGCGAAACGGCAGCTTCTTTCTAGGGTAAACATTTTGGGGAGAAAATGTGTGAGAGTGAGAAATGGGTTAGTCGTTTTGGGTTTTCATTTTATGGTTTTTTTTGTTAATAAAACTTTAAAGAAATCCACGTCATCATGTCAACAACATTGTCATGGGCTTCTGTACGAGTAGCACAATCGAATTTGAGAGAGGTAGATATGGTTCCATTTGGTTTTGGTTTCAAGAAAATTGAAAACGTTTGCTCTCCATCTGTGGCGGTGCTTCTCTGCTTCTCAATGAAACTTATGGCAAATATTATTTGCCTTTTGAAATATAGTGTAGCATTTGTAAAAAGATGGAGATATTTTGGTCATTTTCCTATGTCTTGGTTTTTCATTACTTTGATAATTATCAATTGCAGTATCATAAATTCGTTTTTGCAACCTTATCTCTTTTATATCATTACAAGGAAAAATGTCATAAAAAAAAATACATCATTCCTAAATTCAAAGATAGTATTTTCATGTAAATTCGAAATGTCAGACTTATGTGCAAGGAACTGATAAGCACTTCTGTTACTAGCATATCTAATGAATATGCGATTGATGGTTTTATGTCCTATTTTAACTTGTTCAGGCTTGGATACTTCTACCCATAGCCAAACACTCTCACACTTTTATGTATTTGTATGAAGGTTTGTGACATTTTAATAACTCATAAGGAGTTTCGTTCATACTTTTGTGTGGTAATTTATTTAGAATGTGGTTAGTTAAGAAAATTGTTTCCCTCCACAAATTTTAAGGTAAACTAGAACTAATCAACATAGTGTTCATCATCTCTTTAAGAGTACGATTTTTGCGTTCAGCAATACCGTTTGACTGAGATGAATAAGGACTTATAGTTTGATGAATAATCTCAGATTTCTGAACAAAATTCTTCAAATGTTCCTTATTCTCCACCTCTGTAACTACGAACAACTTTTATCCGTTCGCTAAGTTGATTCTAAACCTCATTCTTGTATTGCTTAAATGCTTCTAAGGTCTCGTCTTAATTTCTTAGCAAATATGTATAACAGTACCTTGTGCAATCATCTATAAAAGTAATAAAATACTTTTTATATCATCTAGTTTGCACAAATTTTAAATCACAAATATCACTGTGAATTAGTTTTAGAAAATTCGACTTCCTTTCAACTAAATGAAACAGTGTTTTAGCTAATTTAGCTTCTACACAATTTTCGCACCGATGATTTGATCAAATGAAATAGAAGATAATAAATCTAAACTTACTAATTTACGTAAAGTGTTAATATTAACATGTCATAATCTATCATATCATAAATTAGAAGAATTAATCAAGTAAGTAGAAGATTTATTTTTTTAATGTCAAAATTACAAAGTACAGACATTACATTCATTTTGAATAGCACATTCGCTAAGTACCCCTTGCCCATAAACATACCATTTTTGGTGAGTACAAACTTGTCAGACTCAATTATTAGTTCAAACCCATTTTTGCTTAATAAAGCTCCGGATACCAAGTTTTTGTAAATATCAATAACATGCAGTACATCAATGAGGTTACTTCTTTGCCTGATTTCATCTTTAGCACTACTTTACCTAGTCTAACAACTTTTGATATTGTCAAATTATCCATAAATAGTTGTCGTCCATTGATAGGAGTGTGAGATGAAAACATCTCTTTATCAGCATAAACGTGACGAATAGTTCCAATACCTACGAACCATTCTCTCAAATTGTCCACCATGTTTGCTTTTAATACAACAGCTGAGAGCATTAGTTCAAACAATTCGCCTTCCTCGATCAAGTGTACTTGCTCTTTTTTATTTTGCTTTTTTTTGCCGACAGCCCTTTGCGATGTGACCAGGCTTACCGCAGTTATAACAATATCCTTTGAATTTTTTTGCATTGCTCTTTTACTTAATATTACCCGAGTGCTTCATTTTCTTTCTAGTATTTGGCTCCATCAAATTAACTTTCACCTTCATTTGTAGCTTTTCAGATTTCGTCTCAAAATTTTGACTATCTTTCTCAATTCTTAATCTTACAATCAAACCTTCAAGTCACATTTCCTTGCGTTTATGTTTCAGACAGTTCTTGAAATCTCTCCATATTAGTGGTAATTTCTCAATGATCTCAACGACTTGAAACGATTCACTAAGTTTCATACCTTCTGTGCGTATCTCGTGCACGATAATTTGTAACTCTTTGACTTGATTCATCACTATTTTAGAATCTACCATTATGAAGTCCAGGAACATGCCTACAACGAACTTCTTCAATTCGACATCTTTCGTTTTGTACTTCTTTTTCAATGATTCCCACGATAGTTTAGATGTCTTGACCGAATTGTATACGTTGTATAGTGTGTTGTCAAGGCAATTGAGGATGTAGTTTCTGCTCAATCTGTTACTATGACTTTATGCATCGAATGCTGCTCGTTTTTTAGGATTTGTTTCCCTTTCCTCAACAATTGAAGCATCTTCACTAAAAAATTGTCAAATTCAGAGTTGTGAGATAAAACTGAATTTTCTGTTGACGTCTTAAAATCCACTCCCATAAATTTTTCTGATTTCTCCCCATGAGTATTGTTAGGGAGTACGACCTCAACTTGTAATAGTAGCACTCCAAATTACAAGACTAGCGAAACTACTAATGTTTTGATCTATCTAAAATTGAAGGACTTAAAATGTACGAAAATAATATTAGGGACTAAAATGCCCAATATGGAATAATGCAGGACAATATGATTATATTTTGTAAGAGAGAAAATCAAGATTGATTTTGAAATGAATAAAATTCGATATATATGGACATATTTGTAGAAGTTGAAAAGTTGTGTCCAAAAGACACGACAACCAAACATTTGTGTTTTGAATAGACACAACCCATTTGGATAGATAGTTATATAATTAACCGACGGTTCTAGAAGATGCCACGTATCGCGCACAGGAAAATTTGGGGAATAAATAAATAATATAACTAAATATATTATTTAAATTAATAATAAAATAATATAATTGAAATATTATTTTGCCAAAAAATATATATCAACTTGGCCCAAATCCAAGCCCGAGCCAAGCAGTCGAATGGCGACGACACGCGTATGGAATTTGGCTCAACCTGCTAGCATGTATGTCATATCTCCTTCAAAAACTATAGGTACCCATTGGGGTTCAAAATTAAGTTCCAAACTTGAGCAAGAAATTATCGTCTTAAAATTGTTGGAGAAATATTGATATTATCGTTCAATAATTTATATTCTAAATAATCTTTTTACAGAGAATAAACAACTTGGCAGAATTTCAACTTATAGAATGGACGGAATAAAACAGGATGATAATGGTTGAGGCAAGAGTTCAATTCTTTCTCCTTGAGACGATAATGTCTCGCACTGGTGCGACGGTCTTTCGGTACTCATCTCTCAAGATACAACGACCTCAACTTGTAATGGTAGCACTCCAAATTACAAGACCGGCAAACCTACTAATGTTTTGATCTCTAAAATTGAAGGACTTAAAATACATGAAAACAATATTCAGGACTAAAATGCACAATATGGAATTATACAGGATGAGATGATTATATTTTGTAAGAGAGAAAATCAAGAATGATTTTGGAATGAATAAAATCCGACATATGAGAGCCTACTTATATATATCAACGTGGGCCAAGTCCAAGCCCAAGCTGAACAGTCGAATTGCGACGCAACACATTTGAAATTGGCTCAACCTACTAGCAGGTAAGTTATCTCCCCTTCAAAGACTACAGGTACTCCTTGGGTCCCAAACCCAAGTTTTAAATTTGAACAAGAAATTATCGTCTTAAGATTGTTGGAGAAATATTGATATTACCATGCAATAATTTATACTCGAAATAATCTTTTTACGGTGAATAAACACTTAACAGGATTCGACTTACAGAAGGGATGGAATAAAATAGGATGATAATGGCCGAAATAAAAGTTTGACTCTTTCTCCTTAAGATAATAATGTACCGCACTGGTGCTGACGATTTTTCATTACTCGTCTCACAAGATACAACGAACTGGACTTGTAATAGTATCACTCCAAATTACAAAATCGACGAACCTACAAATATTTTAATCTCTCTAAAATTGGAAGACTTAAAATGCATAAAAATAATATTCAGGACTAAAATGCACAATATGAAATAATGCAGGATGGATGATTATATTTTGCAAGAGAAAAATCAAGAATGATTTTGGAATGTATAAAATTCGACATATGGAGATCTATTTATAGAAGTTGAAAAGTTGTGTCCAAAAGACATAACAGCCAAAAAATTGTGTTTTGAATAGACACAACATAGTTAGACAAGCAGTTAAACAGTCAATCGTCAGATTCTAGAAAATGCCACATATTGCGCACAGAAAAATTCGGGGAATAAATAGATAATATAAATAAATATATTATTTTAATTAATAATAATATAATATGATTCAAATATTAGTTTACCAAAAAATATATACCGAATTGGCCCAAGTCCAAACCCGAACCGAGAGGCAGAACGACGACGACACGCGTGTGGAATTTGGCTCAACCTACCAGCATGTAGGCTGTAACGACCTGGCCTCTCATCGGAGTCATTATCTTACGTACTGTCCACTCTGGGGTGGGCTTTTTCCCACTTATCCCCTCAGGCTTTCTGACGCCTCCCCCAGGATTCGAACTCAAAACCTTCATCGTATGGGAGACTTAAGTTGAATCTTGGTACCAATTGATGGAGGTCTTGGGTTCGAATCTTGGGGGACGCGTCAGAAAGTCGTGAGGGATAAGTGGGCAGAAGCTCACCCCAAAGCGGACAGTACGTAAGATAACGGCTCCGGTGAGAAGCCGGGTCGTTACATATGTCATCTCTCCTTTAAAGATTATAGGTATCCCTTGTGACCCAAATCCTAGTCTCAAACTTGATTAATATAAAGTGATTTCTATTTTTCTACTTTTCTTAAGTGGGAATGACATTTTTCAAATTTTCACCAATTTTTATTCCCAATTTATTTTAATTTCAAGTGGTCATTTTTTTTGCCTTAATTTTCATTCACTCTAAATTGATCATTCACTCTAAATTGGTTTTGAAATAATAAATGTTACATTAGTCTACTTGTGGAGTAGAATACACTTAACCAAAGAAATATTTTATCCAACTATCAGGATCCACTTAAATAATTGGTCAAACCAATTAATTAAACCAATTTTCCAACAAAAAATCAGCCTATGTTTGGTAGGTATTTTTGCGGAGAAAATGCATTTTTTTTGTTGATGTAATGGGAAATATGTGATTGAAAATGAAGGAAAAGTTATTGATATGATAAAAAACATTATTTCATTAAAGAAGAATGAGAATGAAAAATATAATATGACTCAAACAATAGCTCAAATGAAAATTATACCTCATGGTCTTCGACTACTCAACTGTAACCCCGAAAATGCACTTTATGCTGTCAGAAAACATCACATCAGTCACTGATGTCTTCGATTGAGCAAGACTAACAGTATCGTTCCCATTTTCTTCGTCATTCTGCCAAATTCTTCGCACAGCTTCACGTGCAGCATCAATCGTAATGTCAGAGCCCAAGAATTCAGCCGGGTCCCGATCCTCCTCAACAAGGCCAAGCAAAAGGTGCTGAGTAAACACCACGTCTTTGCCTTAACACCCTTTAATTCCTCTTTCATTAAATCTTTCAAAAACTCTCGATGCTACATATAGTGAACATTTTTTCCTTATTGAGAGAAACTAAGGCCCCGTTCTCTTTGTTATTTTCAGACTGTTTTCGATTTTCAATTTTTCAAAACATCGAAAACGTGTTCTCCTTCTCATTTTTGAAAATGAATTTTGGAAAACAAAAAAAAAAATTGTGCTGAAAACTCAAAACATCCAAAACCACGTTTTAACCATTTTCAGTTAAAAACAAGGTGATTTCAGAAAACATGGGAAACACCGTTTTCACTTATCCTCCTTTCTCTCTCTTTCTCTCCCCCTCCCCATTCTCCCGACTTTCTCTGGTTTTCAATTTCTTCTACCATAAATCCACATCTCCCATGGCCTCCATAAGGAGCTTTTCGACGTCGGTCCACCTCCGATTTCCCAACACCTTTCCACCTCCAGTGCCTATCCCGTAGATTGGTGCCACTCATCCGTCGCCTGTCAAAACTGTGGCTCGACCTATTGATCCTGCCTCCTACCCCTAACCTCAAAATTAGGTAAGCCCAACCTGTTTTTCTGTGAGTTGTCTTCAATATTTGATCAATATTGTGGAGTAGATTGCTTATGTTGTCGAATAGAGAGGTATGACTCTCCGATTTCAAAAGGTCCTTATTTAAACTCATACCACTGCTTCATGCCATACTCTTCATAGGTGGACCACCTAGTTTTGAACTCTATTCCCACTCTAAATCACATTCTTAGCATTTGTATAGTATTGGCTTGGTCTCTGTTCGTTCACGGCCAAATGAGTGCTTGCCTGAGTCCAACATTAGAGATTACGTTGGTTGGATTTTGCCCAGTTTTGTCCATTTATATTTCTTTGCTAAATGACATACTGCAGAATATTCAAGCCAAGACTAGAAAACTATCTATTACTGAATAAAGCTTTCATCAGTTCTAGGAAATTAAAGCATGTGTAAAATTTTAAATGATTATCACTAATAATTTGTAGCGAAGTTGCAATAAAAAACTGAAGGTCGTTCAAAACATGTTCCTGGTGATTTTGGTGACTTTAAAACATGGAGATGGCAAAGATGGTAGGGGCTAATTCGGTTTTATTATGACCACGAAGAAACGGATTCCACTTATGGTTAAAAAATTGGAGTTGAAAGAATAGGAATTTGCAGCTTAGTGATTAGAAATGCATAATAGAATTGAAATAATTTAAGGCAGATTCAAGAAAAATGAATAAATATGTTCTGTGAAATACTAATTTAAGGCAGATAGATGAGACTTTTATTCTCTGTGTTTTATCCAATGGCATAATTTTCTTGAACTTTTATGATGTGTGTTTCAGTAGAGAAGGATAAATATGTCTTGTATTATAAATCAAGAAATTCAAAAGTTTTACTGGTATGCCAATGGCGGATTCTGATGCCTAGTGATGATAATAGAGGTCATCTGTCTACTGCAAGTTTGTGAATAAAGATGAATAAGATTTCCATTGTTATTTATAAAGCGTTGGACAAATTTTGCTAACATAAATTCCAAAGGATTTGAGAATGAGGGAATCATCATGTAATTCTCAACCCTCGGTTTGAGCAGTTGAGCTGATGTAGAAAAGATTGATATTCATATATAATTTAAATGGAACAACCAATTTACATATCCAGAGGATGTTGAGCCAATATGTCACACAATATGGAACTTTGTTTTATTGTTTATTACGATCAAGTACTTACGTTCAATTTCTCTCCTTTTTTATGGTTTCAATTATTTCAGGAGCTATTATAGGTGCACTAATGCTTCATGTAGTGTGAAGAAAAGAATAGAGCGATCTTTGAGTGATCCAACAATAGTTATGACCACATATGAAGGCCAACACACTCATCCAAGTCCGCTGATGTCTCGAGCAAACACTGTGCTGCACTGACGCCGTGCTCGGGATTCTCGACCAGTGCATCTACCGCCACATCTATACCGTTGCAGCTGCAAATGTGTTTATCATCCGTTGGAGCTGATCAAGTCTATTGCAACTATTCTACACCATTGAATCTAGGTTTTATGGGTTCTACGAATATTAACCGTGCTACAATTGAGCACCAGAAGCGCTTTTGCACCCCACCTTCTGCTTTGATAACAGATTATGGGCTTCTCCAAGATATTGTGCCCTCAACTGTGAGAATAGAAGAGTAAAATAATCACTTTTTTTTTCCTGACTGACTTATTACTAGACATTGTAGATGAAATGAAATCCTCCATTATTGGAATGTGATGCTCTTAATCGCTGTTTCTTGTTTTACCCTTTTTTTGTCCAAAAGAATCAGCATCATATATACATAATTACAAACCCTAATATGACTTCTTTTGGAGGTGTTAGTTTTAATTTCTTACATATACCTACTTTGTTCGAAGCTACAATGTTGTCTCTAGTGACGGTCATCTTAGGCAATGGAGCTTAATTTAGGGTTCTAAATTTTCTGCTTGCATTCTTCATCTCACCATTGGTCAATTCTACGAAACTATGATTAGACATGCTATGCTCTATGGTTCGTTGGTAAAATTCTTGAGGATAAAATGAAACAAAGACAACGCCGTTTGAAGATGAACTAAGGGAAGGACAATTTAAATGGTCGAGACATATTTCCACGTAGTTGAAGAGGTTTGTAGAATGACGTGATCTCTGAACAACAATTTACAAGGAGGGTACAAGGCCAAAACTAACATGATTTAATATATTGTAGATCTAACTATGAACCGAAAGATTCCAAATTTATCAGTGACTAGTATAAATACATTGTTCCCTTGGCTTCTTCATGTAATTACTCTCGTTTGTCCTTTAAGGCTTGTTTGAGGACTTTTTTATTTTTATTTTTTTTTTATGTAGAATGGATTTTGAAATAGTAGATTAATGGAGAATGTATGGTTAAAAATGGAAAAAAAAAAAAGTTTTTGGATTGTGTGTAATATTATTTTATTGAAGAATATGTGATTGAAAAGAAGAAAGAAAAATATATTTTGGAAAAAAAATAAGAATCAAACTTGTTTTGTCAGGGATCAAATTGATACACACGTGTGAAATGACTGCTCAAGATGTCGTACATGACTCCATGGATTTATTTTACATTTTGTGTAGTATCTAATTGTTTTGTCATGACACGTAAACTTCTAATCGTATCGATTGAACTGTTTTGCCAAATTTAATTTGGGATGTGTTTTTTATATATGGAAAAAAATATTTTAAGATTCACCGACTTCAAAATGCATATGTTATTTAATACGATATTAACATTAAACTATTATAAGTTATTGAATAATCAGATTTCTTGAAAAAAATATTCTCAAAATGCCAAAGTAAATGCGTTTTTCATTTTTATGTTTTCAGAACAGTTTTTCAGAATAACAAAAAGAACGCATTTTCAACAATTTCAAAACACACTCAAAATACAAAACACAAAATAAATTCAAAACTCAAAACACAAAACTGAAACACAAAGAGAACGGCCCCTAAGTTTTTTAGATCTGTTTTGGAATTTTTAAAAAAATAAAATAAATAGAGAAACCGGCCGGCTGCACCACTGCAACGCTTTTCAGAAACCGTTTTTCAAAATAACAAAAAGAACGTATTTTTAGTAATTTCAAAACAGACACTCAAAACACAAAACACAAAATGAAATCAAAACTCAAAACACAAAACTGAAATACGAAGAGAACAGCCCCTAAATGATTGTTGCGTCCGTGTTGAGAAAGCGATTTTCCAAATTAGGACCGAAAAAATGATCGTCATCTGCTGCTACAGACTGGTGGGTGTTTAAATATTAGAACGAAAAGCAGGGTAATTTGGGAATAATGAAAACAGTTTTTGACATCGCCGGTGCTTATTAGATAAAGAAAATTGCCGATTTGGGAAAAAAATTCACCGAAAGCGGTGGCGAACACAATAATTCTATCAACAATTTATTTAATTATATTATTTTTCTATATGAATTACTGATACATTCGAGAAGAAAAAATTGAAATAGCTCGATGCATGTGGGTCTAACACGCTATCAACACAGCAAGGGAAAAAGAAAAGAATAAAAATTTTTAACCTTTTTTCTGTGAATACTACAAAGTTCGACTTGTCCTTGGTGCCAAACATGTTAGAAGAGTTCAACTGCTCTCAGAAGAATCAACTTGGCTCCACAGTTTATCAGCATAAGCCTTTTCATCTTCCTTCTCCATTGTGACATATTGAGCAGTCTCCATAATTTCCTCTTCTTCCTCTTCTGGTGTTTCCTCTTCTGTCCAATCCTGCACAGCTGCAGCAGCTTCACATTTTTCTCTTTCTTGCTCTATAAGCTCAGCTAATGCTTCCTTCATTGCCTGTGCTGTTGCGGGAGCATCTCCTGGTCCGTATTTTGGTGGAGGCACGACAAAGGGCAAAACAATATCGTCCAAGGTTGTACTCCTTTGTTTGACACAATCTACTGCGCCTGGTGGGGGGTCAACGAAAATGATTCCAAGCTCATAATTAGAAATGTGTAATCTTGAACCTAATACGGGATTATTCCTCGAATCTCCATTGGCTTGTCTGTCTAGCGAATTGGAGATTGGCCTTCCCCAGGCGGCTGCACTGAAGTTGTGCGATCCACAATAAACCCATCCGAAGGAGGATGCATCTGTCCTAGAGCGGAACCGTCTGCATCCTACCTGTTCATTCCAATGCATTAGCTACACGATGTAAAAAATGTCCCAAAACAAATGAAAAGAGACATTTTTATCATTTAGATATGGTTTTTTTTTTTTTTTTTTAAGAATGTGTATAGTTAAATNNTTTTTTTTTTTTTTTGGGGGGGGGGGGGGGGGGGAAATGAGTGGCATGACAAGAAGAAAAATGTAGAGAAATAAATGAAATAATGAACAATTTTTAGAACGTACGTATTTCAATAAGGGGAGATCATGAGAAATTGGATAACACATACGGTCAAGATTTTAGTTTAAGAGGACTACGATCGCAACTAAATATGGAAAACATAGACAGGAACAAAAATTTGATCATAAATAGTTTAGAACCTAAGAATCAAACAAACATAACCACCATCATCCAACAGTGGAAATCATATGATCAGAGCTTTACGGGCAAAGCCTATTTGGTTACCAAAAGTGCAAAAAGAATGACGAGAAAATTTGAAACATATGCATGATTGGAACCAAGTTCATGACCATATATCGTAAGAATATGAAAGGAAATCAGTACCTTGACGTGCATAGGAAGCCCGACTCTGTCACTGGGATAAGGAATTGCATCATGGAGTATGCCAACATTTTTCAACTTCTGCCAAGTTTTCTGTAAAGAGAACCATCATCTGATAATTATGAACAATTACAAAGGAATCCAAGTGCATGGCATAGAAATTCTTAGACAAAATATTCCTCGATAATACTCAAAATAATATTGTCGTAACAGTTGAAGATCTGGAATAATAATGAAAGTGTACATTGTTAAAAACTCAAAATGTATTTAAAGCACATCGTTACAAAGAAGACAAGAGGCAATCCCATCACGATGCCTTTGAACCAGTAAGCTGAGTACGGAGTACCTGTGAGAAGCACAAAAGGCGCTTCGATGCCAAAATACCACTTCTTGTGTTCTTCACTCTATTGATAGTTGGGAAAACAATCCTGATAGAGGGATTTTTTAACTCTTGACTGGTACTCCAACAGCCCCACTGTCAGAAGCAAGCACAAACTACTCAACAAAAGTAAAATATGCTGTACCATTGCACAAATTTCTATAAGCTAGCATTGTCTCACATCCGGATCAGACTCCTCAGATTCAGAGAACGGCAATGATCTCTTTCCAGCTGCTGCTGAAAATGCAGCTAAAAATTGAGGATTTACAGATCCAACTGAGGACGAACCTTTAAAATACACACATGTTAAAAGAGAACCATAAAAAACAGAGTAAATAATTTCATCAGAATAAAGTATCACTAATCTACACATTCACTCACCAAAAAAGAACTCAGATTCTAAATGTTCAGGCCACTTGAACTGATCCAAAACCTGGGAAAAAACAGAATTGAAGAAATCAGCAGTCAGATAAATGATGTCAAAATCATTGTTCACCAATCACCATAACATCAAAGAATGATACTATATTTTGTCATGCTTCATGCTTGGCTTGAACACTTCTAACCAACTATAATAATTGAGGAAATGTTACTGATCCCATGCTTCATAGGGTGGTTTTGTCCACGAAGCACCTGCTGTTATGAGAATCTTCAAACACGCTTAAAGAAAGCAGTGCTTAACATGAAAACAGACAACACTTCCAAGTCTTTTACAGGACAAGCATTCGAAAAAAAATCCACAATTAGGCAATCTCTTTGCCTTAGTCGAATATAAAGTGCAAAAATTACCGGGGAGCAAAAGAACCATATCCAACTAAAACGAACCATAACCATCCAATTTGGTACGGTGAAATGCACCAACCACATGGAACAATTAACCCTTTTTTTCGCACACCACAATTAACCTATTTTAAAGAACATAACATTTACTGTAATTTGCATCAATAACTTGGGAATTTTGGTTATGGAATGGAACCTAACAGGAAACATTCGGTTCGGTTCCATAATTACTAGAACCAATGGTTCATTTATAAGATACCCACTGGTTATCAGTTTGGTCCTGTTCTCTTAGGAACCAGACCAAACCAAACTGTGTCCATCCCTAACAAAAACAATCTTCCATAGCCATGTTTTAGATTGGTATCAAATATAAGCTTATCCAAACATGTATGGATAAGACCAGGTCAAAGATGCATGCAGTCTCCAAAATCAAAGTACTGTAGTAAAAACTTCAAGAATAAATTAACAGCAAGCACCCACTTAAAATTTCTAAAGTACATTAAAATAAGAATCAATATTGATAGCACGAGGCAGTCCAATTTGGAAACATCACAGTTACTCTAAAATGTACACAATGAGATGAACGTGAAACAAATAACAATGCCTAAAAATTAACCCTGCCCATTCAGCAGCCTTACCTCATTAAGTCGCCAGAGGCCAGCACACCTCTGAATTGATGCAACTAAAGAGCATATTCCAGAAAGACGCTCAAGTTGTGTGACTTCACAAATGTCAAAAGGCGAAGGTCCCTGCACAAGACATCATCAAAGCTTTCGCATATGGTTACCACTTACTAAGAATCCAGCATATATATGCTTACGGGGAGCCATAAATAAGATTCACATTATTAAGAAGACAAATTATATTCTGACTTCAAAAACATACCAAATACACATAAAGCATCAGTATTACTTTCTTGTTGCTTCCTTCTAAAGCAGTTGCAAGGACTTCTTTGGGGTAAATATATGCAGAAAACATGAAAAGACCAATGTCTGACAGTGGAGCCACCCATTTTGCAATATGCCTTGGAAGGAATCCAAGCTGAACGAAATCTAGAGAAAGAAGAAAGAAAAGAAGTGATTTGGAAGCATTGGAACCTTAAATAATTGTGTCTAATAAGCAAAAACATAAAAGTAATTTAAGACCCTGTTTTGTCAATATGGCTATGTCAACATATTCTATGCAAGCAAAAACATAAAAGTAATTTAAGACCATGTTTTGTCAACATGGCTATGTCAACATATTCTATGCAATGACACTAGGCAAGGGAAGGCAAATTACAATTGCCTTCAAGCTATTTTCATGCATTTTCATTGTTCATGCTTACAAATCAGAACCTTCATACAGCTCATGTAAAAACACCCTAGTGTGCTTTTGCAACCTAAAAATCAGAAAATGCTTCTGGACATGCATGGTTTCTTCAAGTAAAATCTTGTTCGGTTATATATCCTAAATTGCTTACTGATACAAAAGATCATGATCACTAATCTGCCACATTGATTATCTTCTGATAAAAAGGATAGCTAGAAGTAAATTTCCTATATTGCTAGACCCTGTGTTGCTCGGACTCGGCGTTTTGGCCGCCATACCCGTGTCGACACGACATGACACAGGTACCGGTACGAAATACGGGTCGGGGACGGCAAAATGCAATTGGACACGGCCAGGGAAGAAGAAGAAGAGCCACAAGAAGAAGAAGAAGAAGAAGAAGAAGAGCCAGCTGCGGTGCTGCCAGAATTGCAGAGAGTCTCTTTTCTGGAACTCTGCCAGAGACATAGGGTAGAAGGAGGGTGTTGGACTGAGCCTGTTTTTGGTTTCAAGTTTCGGGCCTGACTTTAAAAGTTTAAACA